TGGAACAGGAAGACTAGAAAGCCCAGATACCGACTTCAGTGCACAAAAGAATTTAGTAATAATAAGAGTATGATCTGAATAGACAGGATGTTATTCAGTGAATGATTAATTGTGTAACCAAGGAACAAGTAAATGAACAGTCATATCTTTACCTTATGCTGGATAACAAAATAAATTACAGATAGATAACATTTTAATTTAACAAGAAACCCTAAAAGGTTCACAAAAAGATGTAAATATGTATCTGACTTCACATAGGATCTAGTTCATGGATTTACTTAATAAAATCTGAAACATTTGTTGACAAAGTGAAAGCATTATAAATAAAATTAAAAGGGAAATCACGAAACAGGTAAAAATATTTGCAACATATGAGAAAAGAATAATATTCTTCACATGTAAAAAGTGCTTACAAAATAATAGGAAAAAACAGTAGAATAGTATGTCCACTAGAATAATGGACAAAGATAGCCTGCAAATAGGTAATAAACAGGAAAAACTGTCCATACACACCAACTATCAAGAAAATGCAGATTGTAACCACAGCAAGATCATGATGTACTTAATAAAATAGGCTAACTTTTAAACAGTAATAATCCCAGTATTCTGATAGGGTAAGGCCATGGGCAAACATGGCTGGCTGAGTACACATGGGCGGCATCTTCCCGCAGAGCGGTTTGGCCACAGTTGTCAGAAGCTTTGTACACCTAGGGATTTATCCTGAGGAAGTAACCATGAAGTACGTGAATTTGTACGGCTTGTACATCCTGCTGTACACCTAGGCATTTACCCTGAGGAAGCAGCCATGACTATTGAGAAATATTTACCTGGAGCATCTCGGTCTATAGAAGAGAAAAATTGGCGATAATGAACATTTCTAAATATGAGACATTACCTAAGTAAGTTATGAAATAATCTAAATCAAGGACTTAGGGAAAAATAAAACAACAACTTAAGACTTGTCTCTGGTATTGGGAAGTATGAATTGTCCTCAGTGAATTTGTATTATGTTTGTAATCCAGTACAATGTTATATAAATTTTTTGAAGATTGAAAAGAAAAGCAATTATCTGAAAGCAAGCTATGGTTTAGTGAGCAATAAAATTGGTTAGGAAGGATGGATTCAAATTTTAAGGGACCTTGAAAGGCAGATTATAGGAAATGTGAAATCATTTACAGCCCCCACACCCACACCTTACTCTATGTTACTCAGTATATAATACAAGGAAGGGCAGCATTTTAAACAAATGGAATCCCATGGTACTATTACTTAGCTCAGTAATAAAAGCTGTTTGGACCAGGAGTCTGGATATGCAGCTTCTTTTTGTTTAAGAGAGAACATGTGCCTGTTTACAAACTATGAGCGATTACTAGGATAAATATCAAAGTCTGCAGTTACACAAACTAGTTTTTTATTTCTCAGCAAGCCTTCAGATTTGAACGTTAGTTTTTATATGTTAGCTATTAATTACACTTCTCATCGCTGTTTTACGTGTCTATAGGATAGAGATGTTTGGTTGGATGTGTTGTGATTTCAGCATTCTGTGGCAGACGGTGTCTGTCCTTGTGGCTGTACTGCCAGAGTTCCTGGAGATCAAAGCCAGTTCTGACACAATGAGTGAATGAGGTGCATGAACATTGCTGGGCTCACCCTTAAATCACTGTCACTTTCTATGGTTTTAGCTCCACCCAAGACTGTCAAACCCTCTGAGGATCAACTGAAGTCGGAGAACCTCGAGGTGTCCAGTTCTTTCAACTACAGTGTGCTGCAGCATCTCGGCCAGTTCCCACCCCTCATGCCCAACAAGCAGATCGCGGAGTCGGCCAATAGCAGTAGCCCCCAGAGCTCTGCAGGGGGCAAGCCTGCCATGTCCTATGCCAGTGCTCTGCGGGCCCCTCCAAAGCCCAGGCCCCCTCCTGAGCAGGCCAAGAAGAGTAGCGACCCTCTGTCTCTCTTCCAGGAACTGAGCCTGGGGAGCTCATCCGGCAGCAATGGCTTTTACTCATATTTTAAATAATCACTTTTTTTTCCCTCAAGGGAGAATGTTTTAATTTCTGTTTTTATCACTAGAATAAAGGTAGTTGGACTTCATCTATAGATGCACAGTTCCCTTTGTTTTAATATTAAGTATGTTCTCACTTAATTGCTTTGCTGCTAGACTTACAACTAATTTTTTAAGTATATTCCATTATTTTGCATTTTCGATGTGTCAAAACTTTGACAGCTTTTATGTAGAATAAAAAAAAAATTTTAATTTGTGTATTGTTACATGTTTGCATCAAGCTAGCAGCCAAGAGGTTAATTGTGCAACTATAAAAAAAAAGAAAAAAAAATTTTGTCTAAAATATATTTAAAAAGAAAAAAAATTGTAAGTAGCATTTACATTTATTCAATAATATTACCATATGCTGGGTTTCTGTACCAGAAATGGCCAGTTGATGTACAAATGTATGTTATTTTTGCTTAAATTCATTTAAAATTTTTTAAAATAAAGGGGCAGCATCTTCTAAATACTTTAAGTTTTATCAGCCTTTTTTTTTTTTTTTTGTGACATGATGCTGCATTCTAAAACTTTTATAGTTTTAGACTATGTATGATGTGCTGTTGTAATCTCCATCCACCATAGGATAGAGTTAAAGGCATTCTTTGCAGGCATATTTCGTATGCCACTGTTTTTTGAAATGTGAAAAAAAACATTGGCATACTTAGTTATTTTTGGACAAGCTACACTTCAAGCTTGTTTTTAATGTTAATTTGATAGTGTGTGTGTTTTTTTTTTTAAACAAATCAAGAAGCTGAAAAATTTTTAGGATTGTTGGTGCTTAGTAGACTTGATAACTATTTTAAAAATGCGTGAATTTAGTAAAATTCTTTTTTCTCACTATGCATGTGTAAATGTTTGTAACCTGGCTTCCCTCTTCTCCAGTGGTATAAAGAATTGTGCCGCTTCAAGGTTTGGGTCTTTATTCCTCCAGTAAAAATTTTGGTACCTTATTTGCTGTTTACATTAAAATGTGACATTATATGTGGCAATTCAAATATTTTGCTAGCTGCCTTGTTTGAGGAACACCATTAAAGAAGAAATATGTTTGTCAAAAATGTATCAAAATTCAGCAAAATCTGGGGCAGAAAACTACCCCTGTTTTTCATGTCTTTCGATTCTTCTAAAATACCCCTATTGAACTTGTATACAATATAAAATTTAAATAGCCATCTTAAATATTCTACTGTCTAAAATGGTTTTGAATGAATTTTGGTAAAATCCAAAGGAGAATGTTTACCCTCTTGAAACTGAAGGTCTTGTCACACATTTAAAGCAATATATGTCCTTATCATTTTCCTGATCTAGTAATACTACTTTTATATTTCAGAGATACCTTGAAACTACAATATAAACTTAAAAAAAAATTAAGATGAGGCTGGGGAACCTTTCAAATGAATGCAGTCTTCCTGATGATCCCTTCAAAAACAGGTTTTTGAAAGACCACATTTAATAGTCTATCCCGTAATCAGAGTACATTTTTAAAACCAGGATGAAAAGTGGCAAGGATAAAGAAAAACTACTGACATTTCTTCAGTGACTGGCGTTTAGTTTATGTTGGCCAGCTACAACCCCTTTTCATCCTCAGACAGCATGGGATAAAAGAGTGCCTTTGGTTAATGGTTAGCAAGCTCCAGGATGAACACCGTGTGCCTCTTTTATTCAGCTCTACTTTTCTGCAAAGAGTGCAGTTTATTTGTGTGTGGCTTTGCATTACAGGCTGTGGGTCTCTGTGTAAGGTGGCAGACAGACCTGTAAGCTGCAGACGTGTTAATGGTTACCATAAATCACAGTTGGAAAACTGAGCCAGCAAGTTACAGCACCATGCTTTCTCTGTATGATGTCAGATCACCACATTGAGCAATGTCAGATTTTACTCCACATACTTTAGTAAGGAAGAAAAGAAAAAGTTTTGCCACGTAGCTATGTACTTTTAAGTCTATGACAAAACCCAAGATGTAGTCCGAATGAAAATTAGATCTCTTTGATTTGAGGATGTTAGGGAAAATAATTTTCTCATCAGTGATTATCCAAGCTCCCAGCCCCCAACATACAGGACTACAGTGCAAGCTAGATAAATGTTCAAAAGCATTCTTACAATATGAAGACAGAACTGTCAAGTCAGGGCTTTCAGGTAACCCCTTGTCATGAGGTAATTGCTTAATTTTCTGTTTTCTATACTTGAATCTTTAAAAAGCAGTTTTTTAATTATTTATATTTATATTTAGTTAAGGGTCATGGGGGTCACATGTGGACCCCATCACCTTATATAAATATGTTGATGGTGGAAGCTTTGGAAAAGGAAGCTATTAAGTTGTCATGACATATTTGTTCTAAGCAGTTATTTCTAAAAACTAAAAATAGTAGCTACTTACTGGCTCACCACTCTGCTGTGAGTATATGAGCGCTCCTCATACCCTTATTGTTTGCATAGCCAGTTAAGGATTCAAATGTTGCTTCCTTCTGACGCTTGTCTTAGATTCTGCATCAATTGCTTATTTTGACTTCCAACAAGCTTACTCTTCCTCAGCATTACGAATGCCATCTTTCTAACCGTGCTTTAAAGAACCTGCTCTTTACGCATAGTATCTTGTAGCATTTTGAGCAAGTCTTCTGTAAGAGTCATTGCAAGTTTCCATCAAAATGAGGCATGGCATCTGAGTACAGTTGATATTCTTTGGGTATTACTTGAGTAGTAGTAGCAAGTACCCATACATCAGATTTATGAAACATAATTTATATACTAGGTTCAACCCTTCCATATACATATATATGTACAGTATATGTATATATGTACATAAAATTTTTTTCCAGAAAACTTGATGATAGCTCTCAGATAAAACCAAGAATTACCAGCTTCCATTTTCTTCAGATTTTTTTCTAAGTGAGGTGAATTGTTCACGTCTTTTTACATCTTTGTCCTTTGTATCACTCTGAAGTTTTTTTTTTCTTTCCAGAATGTTTTGTTTCATTTTTTAATTTTAGTGCTACCTGAGATTTTCCTTTTTTTTTTTTTTTAAACTTAAAGACATTATTTTGGATGATAGAGTTTGTAAAGTAGAGCATTGATGCTGAAAAATTTCTTTTCATGATCTAAAAATATTTTGTTATGATTTGAAGAACCCCAATCCATGTAGCATGGATATTTTCTGGTGTGTTTTTAAAGGGGATTTTGGTTGTCATTTGGGCGTATGTTTTGCCAAATTGTTACAGCAGAACTTTGTTTTTGATTAATCGGTAGTTAATTATTGACCATTTAAACTAACATCACCTTAATTTTTCTTTCCTCACACAGATAGGCTTTCTATCCAGGTCATTTTTTTTTTTACACGTGAAATAACAAACTGCTTTGTGTAGATTTTTTTTTAATCATCCGTTTTTAGAGTAAGTTTAGGTTGGATGTAAACATCAACTGGTCTTTTCAGTTCAGAGAACTGCAGAATAAGTAAAATAAGCAGAATTCTCACTGAATAAGCATTACCTAATTAAACATAGCAATTTCCAAGACCTATTTGTGAAAATACTCTCCTTTTTAAGGAAGCATTGGAGTTGCTGAGAAAGCTAACTGAATTTCCTAAGTTTGGGATAATTAATATATAGTATTGTGTTGCTCTCGTGTAGTTGATTTTATGTGTTTAATATTTTTCATCTCGAGCAAAGCTGCAGACATAATAGATATATCCCTAGCCCCCTTAGCTACAGTGAGCCACCTTGGTTAAGAGTCAGAGTGTGAAGAACAATTTGAAGATAAATTTTAGTATTTTAATCATTGTTATTAAGAAAACTAGACTTACTGAAATATCATTTGAAAACAGACACCTACTGTAGCATTGTTTTATAGTGGAATTGTTTGTAAAAAGGGAATCCCAGAAACAATCTATAAAAATACAAGATTAAAACTTTAAATGTATTGAAGGATACAAATTGGTGCTTTCAATGTTATGTAGGCTAGCCATCGTTTTCCCTCCAGCTCCTCAATGGTAGTAATTTATGATTTACTAGACATTATTTCTTGCTCACCATCCCCTTAACATATTGAAAATCCTTAATTTCTACTGCCACGCTATATATTTTCCTGAATCACAAGGTAAATGTCCTAATGGATCTGTCTCTGCTCTTTGCCATCTGATCTACATTCAAACCGTCTAGAAATTAGAATAGGTAATATTCTAACTATGAATTCTTGTTCAAAGTATCACATAGTGGTGTTAATCACTTATAAAGATACCATCTTGAAAGAGTAAGTGGCATGTTAGTGTTGAAAGTGCTCATTATGATACGCGCCTCGCATTTCCCATCTGCTTGAGGCTGGACATTTATTGGCTGAGACTTTAAAGCTGCTGAATTCACCCTTGCTGCTTTCATACCTGTTTCATTAGTAATGGCAAGACCATTGTTGCAAGGAGTGAATCTCACTAAACACATTCTGCTATTACTTTAGACTCTGAGATTCAAGAGATTTAAAAACAATTTTAATGTAACATTTAATATTTTGAACTAATTGATAGTGTCTACTTTGGAGTGGACTTTAAGGAAAGAGTCACCAGAGTTTCTAAAAGTTTTTTGGAGGGAGATACCTAATAGAAGAATCTAGACTTAGAAATGTAAACTGTGGTGAAATCCCAAACCCAGTTCTGCGTGGTAGTCTAAAGCGTCTAAAACTGGAGTGTTAAGAAAACCCAGAGACATTCATATAGTTTCAGTAATCAAAGTATTAGACCAGACTTTATTTGCAATTTGTTCAACAGAGAGATTTTATTTTGATACAGATATTAAGCATAAAGCATAGTAAGTTTTATATAATTCTATGAGTTCATTAAACAATACATTTTCATTATGTTCGTGGGGAGTCTTTTTAACTGTTTCTACCTCATATATGAGGTCTCTTCTGTATTTTACTTTGCATACTAGCATGTGATTGCCTGCCTTAGAACTATGTAGAGGAGGGGAAATCATTATTACCTTTTAAGGAATTTTTGATGTTATGAAGTAAGTGTTTTCATTAATACTTTTTTAATGTTTGAGAAGTAAAGGGGAAAGGGTGGCAAATTACATAGGTCGCAATACAGAGTAGAAGTCACATAGTATTATCTATTTACAAATCTGTCCTGTTTTAAGATTTTAGAATTGTGAACAGGATGGAGCAGTGGTTCTCAAACTTCAGCCAGTATCAGAATTGCCTCGAGGTCTTGTTAAAATTCAGATAGCTGGACCTACCCCCAGCATTTCTGATTTTGGGCTGGAGCCTGATAATCTACATCTCCAACAAGTTTCCAGACGGTGCTGATGCTGCCAGCCCAGGCACCACATTTTGAAAATCACTGGTCTGATTCTCACAGTGAAAGTCTCAGAGACCTTCAGAGTCCGAACATCTTTTCAACCATGCATTGATTTTCTCAGTGTAAAAAACTGATCTCTGGAGACATTGTTATAAATCTGGTGCCATGAGTGGAACAGTCATGGAGAAAGGTCTCCATGGAGCAACAGGACCTTTGGTTTGGCTGCCACCCCTCCTCATTCTCACCCCTGCTGGGGTCTCTGCTGCTCTTCCACAGTAAGGTGAAGGAGCTCTTTGGTTTCTAGGGTGAGTTTGGTTTTGTGTACGCTGCTGCCCTGGCTTCGGTCTGGAAGCTGTGCATTTGTTTGGTGTGGTTAGAGTCTATCTTGATCCATATGCATGGAAATGAGAATCCTGGAAAGAAGCCATCAGAATGCCACGAGAATGCAACCTTGCATTGATCGAGGCACTAAGTGCAGGAGCCCCTGCCCTAAGATGGCAGTGGCACAGAGCATCGAAAACAACAGATAATCCCCAGATAATGTTTCTATTTTTGTGGTTGTTTTTTTTTGGCGGGGGAGGGGTCATGAGGGCAAAGGATTTGTTTTTCCAATTATGTGTTTCTCAGGTTAACAAAGTTATTTTGGATCCTCTGCCGTGCCAGCAGGTGTTAGAGAGAGCCTGAAGTGTTACATATGGCAGAAAATAAATGTCTCTGATTACTTTGCTACCTTTAAAAAAATCTATATGTGTTTGCAAAACAGCCTAGGGGGATCTATCACCTACACAGCATGAATTATTCGTAAGTCATAGGTGCACATGTATGAGCAAGTTATTTTTGAGAAAGAAACTGCCTATAATATAAACCTGTCAGGCCTTTGGGTATATTTTAATTTGTGTGTTGTTGCTGTTTTAATATTCACTCTGTACTGCATCTTGTGGCGGGTATTGGGCTCTGCTTCTGGTTTTTAGTTTGGCATTGAATTTACTGAGATACTAGGAAGACGAAAAAATCTATTTTTAAGGTAATAGAATACAGAATGACTTAGGTATAAAAGTACACGTGAAGACCATCATAGAATGCACAGCTTTGGAGTTCTTAAGACACAGTCTTTCTTACTGAAAAGGCTCGCTAACCTTTGGAGAGGATTGTTTCTATTTTCCGCACAATTTCCTTTATGCAGTCCCAACTTATAGGGGAGCTTTGGTTTATTTACACTTTGCTTTGCACGATAACCTTGTATGTGAAGACCTCTTTATATCTTTCAGTAGGTCAGAGGGCTCCTTGTCCTGGTTGAAGTCCCAACGTGTCAGTTACAGTTGAGAAAATGTTTCTCAGCCTCCCCCTATACAGAGGAAGGGTCCTGGATTTTCATAAATCCAGACCATACCTGCTTCCTATAAATCCATGTATATGACATTGTACTGTACCTGATTTCTGTGCCAGTCATATGACCTGATTCTTTAAACCCCATGAAGGTACTGGCTATATGTAGTAGTTGTATCCTAGGTAACTATGGTGACTAAAATACTTCTAAATTACAAAGATAATGAGTTTTGCATTTTATTAAAGGGTCCTGTTATTAGTGACACAGGATTTTTTTTTAATGCTTCATACATATAGTTCTTATCTAAACCTGTTCAGCTAACTTCAAAGATCAGTTAGTTAGCAAATTCATACTGGGTCTGTTTTGGGAAGTCTTCCTGAGGGAAGCTGAACAAAACTGAGGTGGTCAGTTTTATCTTTCAAAGTACCAGTTATATAGCCATCTAAATAAGCATAATTTATGGCAAAATTGAAACAATTATTTTTCTTTGCAGTAAATGATACCTCATCTAAGAGGCTCTAATACCTAAAGAGTTTATCCTTAAAAGTAAAAGTGAATTTGTACCATAAAATAACCCCAAAGCCACTCTCTGGGGTTTTTATTTTCTTCTTTGTCCTTTTCTTTTCCAACTTAGTTTTGGAATTACGTTAGCAACTTTGGTTCCATAAAACAAGTTTTCAACTTGGTCTACAGTTCTACAGTGTGGTCATTGTCTCAGCGAAGTTCTTTTGTTTTAAAAGATTCATGGTAACACAAAATGTATTTTACTGCTACAACTAAAATGTATTTATAATAAAATGCCTTTTTAATAATTTGGAGATTTGTTTATTATGTGTGAACTATGATTCTCTGTTTCCTTTTGCTCTTAAGATCAAAGGTCTGACTGAAGTGACACACAGCACTTTGATTTTATTCCTAATATTAAATGGTAAAATGAATGTAACTGAGAACTCAATGTGAATTTGTAAAGTTGTACCTCTGCTTTCCAGAAATTTGTGACTTGGCTTAAATCCCCAGACTTAAGCAGTAACACTCTTGAGACTTAAAAGTGTTACCTGAAAGTTTAAAGATCTCCAGTGGTCAGTGAGAAAATGAGCCCTTTTCAAATAGTCATTCAACATATACCTTATGAATTTAAAAAAATTATCATGAATTACTCTTAAGTCACTTAGTTGTTAATGTGGCCCAGAATTTATGTGAGAACTCATAAACCTAGTTTACAGCAATATATTATGTAGATATAATCATGCACTTCACAGTAATGCCTGACAAACATTAATTCAACCACCAAAAAAAAAAAAGTGCTGGTTGGGCAGAAAATTGCCTTGAGTCAAGGTCTTGTTTTTCTTGGGGGAAATAATTCTTTGCATCTGCCATGAGGTGATTTTGAGAAGCATTAGCAGGTCACAGAAGGCTTTGTGTGCCCTGGCTATTTTATTTTTAACATCCTATTAATGTGGTACCATAAATCTACTTGAATATACTGTGCTTCGAGTTTGTAAATGTTAAGTAGATGGGACAGTCAACCTTTCCTAAGGACAGTGTACTATTTGTACTCTTCTAGTGAATCCATTTTAAACCAGGTATCTTACTTTGAGTTGAATTGATTTGATATGACATTAATCTGATCTGGACTTTAGAAAGAAAAACTTCTTTCCATATCAATCAAATGGATCTGGGGGACTCCTTGAGCTGCTCTCTGCTCTAGATGAAATAACCCAAGGCCCCACTTTCACTGGGAAAATGCAGATGTGACTGTCTCAGGTGTTAGCCCTGTGCCATATTGATGCCCTATGAAGGATTTTTTCTGAGAATGGTATTAGTATGAAAGTTAGTGTGAAAAATTTAAAACAATCACTTCCTTTCATCTAAACTGCAAGCACAAAGAGTGAAAGCTGGTTAGCAGAAGCAGTGCTGACATGGAGAGCCCTGTGCACCTGACTTGGTTAAAGTGAAACATCCAGGATTCTGTGGTTAGCTCTCAACAGCCAAAGAGCACTTAGTCTGAAATTGACTGCTGCTTGAGTTACATTGTATTGTCCTAACAAATCAGTTCCCTAATCGGTGGAAATCCTCTTAAGATTTGAAGAGCCCTGTGTTGATTGCATTGCCTCACTTACACTTCATGCTACAACTGCAGCCAGTTCCCTTTCTGAAATAGATCAGATTGTCCCACTCTTACTGAAAACCCATCAGTAGCTCTCCATCACATCCTACATTCCTTAGCTAGACATCAAGACACCCAAGGCTTGTTCCGGAGCATAGTACACACCAGCCTATAGCAGATCGATCAGCATCACTTCCTGAACAAGCCCTTGCCTCTGGCCGCTGGATTTTGTTTGGAGCATGCCCTTCAGCTCTCAGACTCCCATTCCCTAGGGATACTTCAGAGTTAAGACTCAATTTCACCTCTCACACTACCCAGCTGGAATTAGCCCCTTTGTCTCTGTGCTTGCAATTAAGCTTTATGCCTCCTTTATCACCATTTTTGTATTATAGTTGGGAGTCTATGAGCTTTTGGGAAGCAGAGATCACGTCCTCAGACCTCTAAGCCACCTGCAGCAGCTCTGTGCCTGACATGGCAGGCCTTTGATGAACGCTGCTGAACTGGATCTGGGGGTTTGATGGAGAGAAGAGCTTAAAGATGCTCTCCCCTCCCTTTGACATTCTTTGCCCTCACAGTGTGGCCTTATGACAGCACTTGGCGGGAAAGTGACGGCCTGGGATGAAGGAGGAGTAAACTGTCCTGTCCGGTGATGTCTCTGCCGAGCAGTGGCAAAGCATTAGCATTCATGAATTTGAGTATTTTGTCTTGCCTGGTGTCACTGTTAGAACCCTTCACTTGACAGCTTCACCATGGTTATGTCATTTTTGATGGATGCTGCCTACTTTCACACATTCCAGTCTAGGCACATACCTGCCATGCAGCGTTCTGAGAATGTGATGAAATTCCCCCTTTGTCTGAAGCTCTGGTTGATTTGGAATCCACAGAGGAAGGTAATTAAATTGAATAAAAGATACAGCTTGCAAAGCCTATAGTATTATCACACTCTTTGCTCATTAAAACTGCTGCTCTGCAAATTGATTGGAACCTCTGTTTCAGGAAGTTGCGCTGCAATTCCTTAAGTACAAAGTGGTGCTGGCTAGGGGATCCGGAGGAGCCAGTGAAGGACTCTGAAGGTAGGCACGGCCAGGTGGACACTCAGCTCACGTGCTCTGCTCCCTTGCACACAGAGCCATGGGAGAATGGAGTTTTGGTATTGTTTGCTCCCAAATTGAACAGAAACACTGATGACAAGCTGTCTGGATGTAGGAGTGCAGTGCCTGAAAGTTTTGGAGACTTTGCAAAGGAAACTCGGAAATGTTCCAATTAGTCTTCTGAGTTTTGTTTCCTTTATAGGCAAAAGATATACACAGGAGCCTAAAAGGAAACTAAAGGGCCGGGCGCAGAGGCTCACACCTGTAATCCCAGCACTTTGGGAGGCTGAGGCGGCCAGATCACGAGGTCAAGAGATCAAGACTATCCTGGCCAACACAGTGAAACCCCACCTCTACTAAATACAAAAAGTTAACTGGGCATAGTGGCATGCACCTGTAATCTCAGCTACTCGGGAGGCTGAGACAGGTGAATCACTTGAACCCAGGAGGCGGAGGTTGTAGTGAGCAGAGATGGTGCCACTACACTCCAGCCTGGCAACAGAGCAAGACTTAGTCTCCAAAAAAAATGGGGGGAAAGTCTGGAAGTCAGAAGAGCCTGTGGCCTTGTCTTTGTGCTTGGTCCCCAAACCCACCTGCTGGTTAAGCCTTTCATCTGTTTAGAATTCAGGGATGTGCATGATTTTCCAAAGCTAAATGGAAGTGGGTGCTCTAGGTTGCTTTTCTTAGACAAAGTTTTCCACATTCAATCTTCTTAGCTTTAGAACCAGGTGTAAAGCAAGTTGTATAACCTGGGACAAAATTAACAGAAGAGTATTGAGAGATGGGTGAGTAAATAGGCTTCATCTTGATGGATCAAATCTCAGGGTGGCTGCTGAGGATCACGGGTAATTCCTGCTGGGCTGATTCGGCTAATAGAGTAGATCAACTTTTCTGGAAAAAAATAAATTGTAATCTAGTGTAATTATATTTTTAGAAATCTGGTTGTTTTTTTTTTTTTCTTACCTCTGTTGCCCAGGCTGGAGTGCAGTGGTTCGATCTTGGCTTACTGCAACTTCTGCTTCCTGGGTTCAATCAATTCTTCTGCATCAGCCTCCTGAGTAGCTGAGACTACAGGCACTTGCCCCCACACCCGGCTAATTTTTTGTGTTTTACTAGAGATGTGGGTTCACCGTGTTGCCCAGCTGGTCTCGAACTCCTGAGCTCAAGCAATGCGCCCGCCTGGGCCTCCCAAAGTGCTGGGATTACAGACAGGAGCCATGACACCCGGCCTGAAATCTCTCTGTTCTTAAATGCTGTCACTGTGTTTTAGCTCAGAAAATCATCTCATCTCAGAGATGTGCAGCTGTGGGCTCTGCTGTAGCAAATACAGCTAGCTCAGTCACATTGATCTGACTCAAGCCAAGCTCAGGGAGAAGCCACTCTGGCTGCCAACACCTGAGGTCAGAGACCTGGATTTCGAATGAGCTCTTTTGCACTCTTTTCTTGTGTCTAGAGGTCTTCTTACAGTGTGGATTCCTCCCCTCCCCTACCCTTTTTGTTTTTGAGACAGGGTGTCACTTTGTTGCCCAGGCTAGAGTTTAATGGTGCAATTATACTTCACTGCAGCCTCCGCCTCCCGGGCTCAAGCAATCTTTTCAGCTCAGCCTCCTGAGTGGCTGGGACCACAGGCGTGCACCACCAGGCCTGGCTATTTATTTATTTACTTTGGTAGATGCGGGGCCCTGCTATGTTACCCGGGCTACCTTGAACTCCTGGGCTCAAGTGATCCTCTTGCCTCAGCCTCCCAAAATGCTAGGATGACAGGTGGGAGCCACCACACCCGGCCCCGATTCTTTTTTGTCGCATAATTGCATGCGTTCCTCCTTCACATTCACTTGATGACTAGTTCCCGAGCTTATTCAATGCACTCGCATGTCCTGAGGGCACTGTGTGCTGCTGTGCAGAGGGTTTGGCAAAAGGATTGTGGGGAGGGGGTGATTCTAGCTGGTAGGACGATTCTGCAGAAAACACAGGCCTTACTGTCAAAGAATTCGTAATCAGCAAGGCGTGTGGCCCAATGAGCTCTACTACAATGAGGTTAAGTGCTAGAAATAGGAACAACGGTTTCAAAGAGGAGAGAAGCATGAATTTTGCCCTGAGGAGTTGGAGAACATCTCACCTCATAATGTCTGAGCTGGGCCCTGCAGAGTAGGTAGGTGTTCAGTAGGGTAGAGAGGGCCAGGCCACATGCCCCTTCTATGCTTCCAAGGAGCCCTCCCTGTTGATGAAAAGAGTCAAACTCTGTAAAATATTTGAAGAGATTTATTTTGAGCCAAATATGAGACACCATGGCCCATGAGACAGCTCTCAGGAGCTCCTGAGAACATGTACCCAAGGTTGTCAGGTATAGCTTGGCTTCATACATTTTAGGGAGGCATGAGCCTTATGTTAGAACCTAAATATATAAGGCAGATTGACATTTTACTTTTATACATTTATTTAGCAAATACACATTTATAACTTTCTTGTAAAAGCAATTCGTTAGGGAAATTATGTTCTGAAGAACACAAACATTTGACATGAGAATTTATGGAAGACAGAGACAGTCTGATATCTGAATCAGACATTGTGTCGGTTGGACAATATGAGCAAACACTGTGATTCATAAAAACAACAGGAGTATATTTGCTTCTGCACCATTTTATCTGAGCCAGACATGCGTGGGCCTGAATTTTTACGGAGACCGGCACATAACAAAAATCCTAACCCATGAGCCACATGCAAGTTGAAACGTATGGAGAGACATGGCTGAAGAAACTTTGTTTTAAGGTCTCCTTAGAAGAAAGTTACAGCAGCTGGGCCTGGTGGCTCACACCTGTAATCCCAGCACTTTGGGAGGCCTAGGCGGGCAGATCAAGACCAGCCTGACCAACACGGAGAAACCTCATCTCTACTAAAAATACAAAATCAGTCGGGTGTGGTGGTGCGTGCCTGTAGTCCCAGCTACATGTGAGGCTGAGGCAGAACGCAGGAGGTGGAGGTTGCAGTGAGCCGAGATCATGCCATTGCACTCCAGCCTGGGCAACAAGAGCAAAACTCTGTCTCAACAAAAAAGGATGGATCAGTGCCCTCATCAATTTCAATAGCCGATTCTGCTGATTGGCAGCCATTTTGCTCTTTATCTTACTCACAAACCCATGTTATTTCCCTTGAAGCAATGTATGGCGTTCTTTCCTTGTGTCCTTCTCCCTCCTTCCCTCCTTCCCTTTCTTCCTTTCTGTCTCTTTAGTTACCTGCTCTGGAGGATGGCCATGGATAAGTCATCCAGCCTCTGTCCACCACAATTGCTCCTGTCATGAGGGTGCCAGGAGCCCTGCGATTCTAGGCCAGGGGGGCCTCGGGTGAGGGGCAGAGCTGGGACTGCACACATTTCACAGGTTCCACTTCTGGTCTTGAGATGTCTTGAGTATCTGAAGGTGAACAGGAGCTTCTCTCAACCAGATTTCACTTGACCTCCGTCAGAGGCAAATTTCACTGCTATGCACCCTGCAGAACCACAGTTCCATGGTGTTCCTGGACTCTGCACCTCCACTGAGAGGTCAGCCTGGACTTGGGAATCTGGCTTGTGATCACTTCTCTTGGCTTCAGTCACCCACCCTGCCTGACCACTCTGGCCTCCTTGGCTCCTCATTTGTCTCGGTTCTCTGTCTGCTTCCGCTGATGCCACGCAGACCCTGGCTGTTTGTCTCCGTTTGCTCATTTCCCCTCCCCACTAAATGGAGAGGGTTATACATGGTCACCTCTCTACCTCTTAGATGCTTCTAAGTAAATGGTATCCCTTTTTTACTGACCTTGTGTGTGCATGTGTGTGCGTGCGCGCGTGTTTGAGACGGAGTTTTGTTCTGTCACCCAGGTTTGAGTGCAATGGTGTGATCTCAGCTCACTGCAACCTCTGCTTCCCAGGTTCAAGTGATTCTCCTGCCTCAGCCTCCCAAGTAGCTGGGATTACAGGCACCTGCCACCGCACTCAGCTAAATATTGTATTTTTAGTAGAGATGGGGTTTGACTGAGTTGGTAGGCTGGTCTCGAACTCCTGACCTCAAGAGATCCACCCACCTTAGCCTCCTAAAATGCTGGGATTACAGGGGTGACCCACCTCACCCGGCCCCTCATTTGTGTTTTGAAACATGTCCTTGGTCTCCCTAAGACCCTCTATTTGAAACACACCATCAATTTGCCTCTGATTGTGTCTGCTGGGCCAGGACAGGTGGGAAGTGGTTTCGATGTTTAAGTCAGTGACCTGTGAATCTGTTTTTTGAGCTCCTCGTGCCAGAGCTAGACACCCTCAGGTGTGGTCTGGCAGACAAATTCCCTGTCCTCCATGTCTCTATGTGGCCACCATGAATGCCTTGTGGGGAGACTAAACCCTCAATGACAAAAATTCTCGTCAGAAGCAAAGTCAAAAGAACAGAAAGTATCGCTGCTTGTAATGGCAATGACCTTAATTAATTTTCTCCACTGTTCAGGATCAATGCCTTGTGTGGAGATTAATTTATGGCCTCAGTGGTTGCAATGGAGTGAGACTGAGAAATGAAGGCTTGGGGAGGCCAGGAGCAGCTGCGTCCCGGCCTGAGTAACAGTCATTGGTTGATAGATATGTTCCACATCATAGGTTTATTAATACCTTGTCTCCACTTCGAACCATTTCTGAAAGTGGGGACGGTAGAAATTAGAAATGGATTTGTAAATAAAATATTTGGTCAAAATGGAAGAAGTCACACTGGGAGGTTCCGGAAATACTGCGATGACTGTGATTAAAATCTGTCTTCACCGGCACAACCAGAAAAAAAATAGAGGTACACAGAGATGCTTGAAATTTTCAATTTAAGGAGGGGCTAAGAGCCAAGCCACTGGAGCGGGTCCTACCAAGTGCTGGCCAGAGAGAAAGGGAGCCATCTCTTGGTTCTCCCAGGAACTGAGGCAGAGGCCAAGTGAGCATTGGTGAGGGCGCTCATCAGATAGGTGGGAAGCCAGCATGTTTTGCCATTACTTTCTTTTTTCTTTCCTTTTTTTTTTGAGATAGAGTCTCATTCTGTCACCCAGTCTCGAGTGCAGTGGTGCAGTCTTGGCTCACTGCAATCTCTGCCTCTCAGGTTCAAGCGATTCTCCTGCCTCAGCCTCCCAAGTAGCTGGGATTACAGGTGCCCACCACCACGCCTGGCCAACTTTTTGTTTTGCTTTGTGTTTTTAGTAGAGACAGGGTTTCACCATGTTGGCCAGGCTGGTCTTGAACTCCTGACCTCAAGTGATCCACCTGCCTCTGCCTCCCAAAGTGCTGGGATTACAGGCCTGAGCCACCTGCACCTGGCCAGTTTTTGCCTTTACTTTCAATGGTAAAAACTGCAATTATGTTTGCACCTACCTAATAGTTTTCTTTTTTTCTTTTTTTGATGCCCTGCCCAGCAAGATAGTTTCGATATTGTGTTAATTGTGGAGATTTGCATTAATTTTAATTTTAAAAAATCTCACTCAGTATATTTAAAACATCCAAAAGTAGAGACCGAAGCAGAGCGTGAACCTGTGTTGACAGCAGCAATAAGGCAACCCAGCATCCATCAGTGCACGAGTGGTTAAACAAAATATGGGAATATGTAGAGTGGGATATTGCTGAGCCTGAAAATGGATGGAAGTTCTGATACCTGGTCCAGTGTGAATGAACCTTAAAGGCATTAGCCGTCAAGGGAAATGAGCCAGTCACAAAAGGACCAATCCTCCATGATTTCACTGATCCGAGGTACCAGAGGAGTCAAAACCCCCAGAGACAGAAAGTGGAAAGGAGAGGACGTGGTTAGTGCTTGTGAGTTTCAGTTTGGGATGACGAGGAGTTCTGGAGAGGCCCAGTGGTCAGAGTGACACAACAATGTGAGTGTATTCAATGCTACTGAACTCTATGCTTCAACATGATTAAGGTGGTAATTTTACGATATGTGTATTTTACCACAGTTCTTAAAAAATCACACTGAAGTATGGATCTTGATGTCTTAGCTGCTGGTGCTGCCTTTGTTACCTTCTTTGCCTCAGGGAAGATGATGGATGTAAAAACGCTGAGAAAGCCTGGGCAACATGGCGAGGCCCCATCTCTACAAAAAATACAGAAATTAGCTGGGCATGGTGGCGCACACCTGTGGTCCCAGTTACTCGGGAGGCCCAGACAGGAGGATTGCTTGGGCCCAGGAGGTCGAGGCTGCATTAAGCTGAGATCGCACCACTGCACTCCAGCTTGGGCGGCAAGTAAGACTCTGTCTCTAAAACCAACCAACCAAACAAAACACGCTGAGAAAATGCAAGTGTGACGGAACATCAAGGTGTGCTGGATGTTAAAGTCACCCAGTTCTGGGAGGCTGAGACGGGTGGGTCACCTGAAATCAGGAGTTTGAGACCAGCCTGGCCAACATGGCAAAACCCCATCTCTATTCAAAGTAGAAAAATTAGCTGGGTGTGGTGGCGTGCGCCTGTAGTCCCAGCTACTCAGCAGGCAGAGGCAGGAGAATTACTTGAACCTAGGAGGTGGAGGTTGCAGTGAGTTGAGATGGTGTCACTGCACTCCAGCCTGGGCGACAAGAGCAGGACTCTGTCTCAAAAAAAAAAAAAGTCACACAGTTCCAAGCAAGGAGTGAGGAGCAGTGGGTTTCTGAGGCCAACCACAGGCTTCAGGGCAGATGGCACTGTGGACTTTGAAGTGAGGCCTTTAGTCCCTGGCAAAGCTGACCATTGTCCCCTCTAGACATCCGTCCTGGCAGGGAGCATTTGGGTGGGGACTAAGACATTTCCCGCATCGATTTGGTTGACTCTCTTTTGTTCTGCTGTGTGGCTTCTTTCTGGGGCAGAGGCCGGGATGTGTGGCTCTCCGGCGGCCAGCCTCCAACCCTTTGGTTTGCATCACAGTTCCGGCTGTGCTGAAGTATATCTTGAAAGAGTTAAAACCCTGGGAAGCCAAATGTATTCTGTTTGGTGGGTATTCCATTCAAATATGTTTTGGGGGGACTGACACGTAGGCACCCATGGGAAAGTAGAAAATGCATGCTAAGACCAGCGCGGCGGCTCACGCCTGTCATCCCAACACTCTGGGAGGCTGAGGCGGGTGGATCACCCGAGGTCAGGGATTCAAGGCCATCCTGACCAACGTAGTGAAACCCCGTCTCTACTAAAAATACAAAAATTAGCCAGGTGTGGTGGTGGGCAGCTGTAATCCCAGTCACTCAGGAGGCTGAGGCAGGAGCATTGCTTGAACTTGGGAGGCGGAGGTTGTGGTGAGCCGAGATCACACCACTGCACTCCAGCCTGGGTGACAGAGCAAGACTCTGTCTAAAAAAAAAAAAGACAGAAAATGCACGTTAGTTGCATTCTGCTAACAGTAAAAATAGTAATAAAGCAATAATATTGGAGCCAGGCATGGTGGCTCACACCTGTAATCCCAGCTACTCTAGAGGCTGAGGCAGGAGGACCACTGGAGCCCAGAAGTTTAAGGCCAGCCTGGGCAGCATAGCAAGACTCTGATCTGTTGAAAAAAAAAAAAAAAAAAAAAAAAAAAAAAGAAAGAAAAAGAAAAGCAGGCTGGGTGTGGCAGCGCATGCCTCTAATCCCAGCACTGTGGGAGGCCGAGGCTAGTGGATTGCTTGAGCCCAGGAGTTAGAGACCAGCCTGGACAACATGTTGAAACCCTATCTCAACAAAAAATGAAAACAAATTAGCTGGGTGTGGTGGCACACGCCTGCAGTCCTGGCTACTTGGGAGGCTGAGGCAGGAGGATCACTTGAGCCCAGGAACTCAAGTCTGCAGTGAGCTGTGATTGTGCCACTGTACTCCAGCCTGGGCAATGTACTCCACGGTGAGACGCTGTCTTAAAAAAGAAAAAAAAACCCGATCATATCAACCTCCAAAATGGTTATCCATGGGAGGCAGTCATCTCTCTTCCTTCTTACTCATAAATTGTGCCCCAGCTCCCTGGCTGGCCGGGACTGTCATCTTCTGATTCTCCTTTACTGGGAGCCGTTTGTTTCCTGGCTGGATCTCTGCATCTTCGGGTGAGTCTCCTCTAACATTGCTCCTCGCCCAGCCCACACCCTTAAGGTACTGAAGGCAAGTTGAAAGAATGAACAAGTATCTTTCCCCTTAGCTTTCAGATGGGACCAGTAAGGGGTTAATACATGGGCAGATGTTTGTACAGACAGTTTTCCTCCAGAAGAGGGATAAACACACATTTTTCATACAGGGTCAATATTTTCAGCATTGAGGACAGAAGGTATCTCTGTTGAAGCTACTCAAAGCTGCTCTTGTGATGAGAGCAGCCACAGAATGGGCGTGGCTGGGTTTGAATCAAACTTTATTTACAGACATTGAGATGTGAATTTTGTATCATCTTCATGTGTCATGAGATATTTTTCTTCTTTTGATCTTTAAATTATTTTATTTTTATTTTTTGTAAAGATGGGGTCTTGCTATGTTGCCCAGGGTAGTCTTGAACTCCTGGCCTCAAACAATTCTCTTGCCTCAGCCTTCCAAAGTATCGAGAT